CATGTTTATTGTTCATGTTTATTGTGTTTATTTAAAAGAGAACAGGAACAATAAACATGAACAAACATGACCCCCCCCCGGTGTGAATTTCACCCCCAGTAGCGCGATCGATCGCGCGATCCGATCGCGCGATCGCGAAGTCTGAACGCGCTCTAAGCGTGGCGTGCGTCTCGCCTTGAGTCCGACTAACCTATCATCCTTGTGATAAATCTTTCGAGGCCGTATATGACCTCTGATTGATCTCGCACTACAATTGCTGATCCTGTCTTCCTGTATGCGAGTATGCTACCTATGCTGCTTAACAATGATTTCTTTCTAGTACACTCAGATGCTATTCCGTTTTTTTTGCAAGGAAATGCGCTGAAAATTACCAGTTACGACAGATGTTACGTGGGTATGGCTTACGGTGTTTTGATTTCCCTATTCAGGCATGCCTATCTTGAGTGCCGTTATAAGATCACTATGAGTCTGCCGGTGTTTTCACAAGAAAATGCGGAGTAATTTGAAAGAATCTTTCTAGAAATTACGGATCCCGTCCTCGGTTCACGTGACTGATTTCGACAGAATCCTCATGCGGCCTCTCAATTGTTTAACGCGTAGCTGTGGTGTTTTTCTGATTAGTCATCACTTTTGCCTATTGATTTCGATTCTGTTTCGTTCGGGTTTCAAATCATCACTATTTTTGTACCAATTTCTAGTCATCAAGTATTGTATTTAAGGTTACACGGAGTCGTGAGTGGTGTGCACCTAATGCTCGCCAGTGCTGGGCAACTACAGCAAAATGGGGGTCACCGGCATATGGGAGCACATGCAAAAGTATGCAGAACAGATTCCAACGTCTACATTACGAAGCAAGACTTTAGCTATCGGCAAGTTATTTTTCAAAGTTTTTTTTCTATTTCATGAACTGTTGTTCTATGAAAGAACCGACTGGTGCTGTGCTTTGGTAGTGGGGGTTTGATTCCATCAGTACCATCAGTAGCAGAAGGGGGGAGGGGGAGAGGGGGTTGAGGGGAGGAGGAATGATAGCCAACCATTCCTCGTTGGCTTTATGATGGGTTATCGAAAGATTGTAGGGCCGCGTTCATACTTCACGATTGTGGCGAATATAAGAAAATAGGAGGGACGTTGTGCGATGGGGACGGGTGGGTCACGCGGCCGCGCCTCCTTGTTCTTTCTCTTCCCAACGCTTACAAGCTGGTTTAGGGGGCGTCAGCGCTCTGCTTAATGAGTATGTGACAAGACACGAAATGTCGCGTTGGTGGGCGTGGCGAGCAACGCCGCGCACGACATACGAGTTGTCCTGCGCGGCCGTTCAAAATCCAATAAAGGGATAGGAAAATTCTATGCCACCTCTTGTGGATACTTTTTCGCCTGAGTTCATATTAATTTTGCTACATGTCATCAGTTGGTAAGCTGACGCACATCAAGAATTTGCCGCGCATGATACGCCGCGCGCGACGAAGCGACTAGTTACGATTGCCTGTCTGTCTCCCCTGCTAAAAAAATCAACGCAAAGGAGGGCAACGATCATAGCGGTCACAGCGGGGTCTCTGTGTAGTAGAGGCATTGAGACATATCTTTCTAACTAGGTAGGCTCCCAGTAATGCGAAAATCGATTCCCATATTTTTCTCTGTAGGTGATTTTCCAGGGAGCGAAATTCTCCACGAGGCTTAAGTGGAGAACTTATTGCGTGGTTTGGACCATTTGTTGGAAAGAAAACACTGCAAAAATTGTGCATTGATTTTTGTGCGTTTGCTGAATTTCTCGCTTGCGTCGAGTTGGTGCTTACCCGGGCAAACCCGGGCAACCGCTGTCAAAAATTGCGACGAATTCGCAACATCTAATGTTTTCATGCGCTCGAATAATAACACTGTTGGAATGTGGCGCGCATCCAACTGTTCTCTCTGCGATCGCGCGCTAATTTGCCGCTAGCCGCGATGGAGATCTAGTTTTTAGCTATCTCTGTACATTCGAAGGACGACATGCAACGTCATCATTACCTAATCCTTTGTATTTTTTTCGCATTATGTCAGCAAAAAGCAGCTGTCGTGGAAGGACCGCTAAAATGCAGTTTCTCTTCACGTTTTGCATGCGTGAAATGTGACTGTGACAGATCTCCACCCAAAAAACAGTAAAAAAAAAAAAAAAAAAAAAAAAAAAAAAAGAAAAAAAAAAAACACAAAACCCCCAAACTATCATCACTGGTTGAATTTCTTTGTTCAAGATTTGCAGGAGCGCGAGCAGCATAATGTGCAGTATAAATTATCATCGTCTTAGCCTTTTTTTGCGTGATCGTGTCGCAAAACCCTGCAGCCTCGTCAGATAAAGAGCAGTGGATGCCGGAGCATCAAAGGGTGCGAAAGAGCATATGGCGAACGCAAATCGATGCGGTTAAAGGGAGTGGGTTCAGATTGTCCGTAAACCAGAGAAGATTGTTTATTTTGCTCATTTCTGAGAAGCATTGAGAGGATTTATGAATGGAAACGTTTTTAGCGAAGTGATTTTGTGGTATTTTGCGAATAGTTTGGGTTAAAGGTCCCCGGTAGGAAGAATGAGAGGAACAGTATCACTTGTAACCAAGCGCATCCTGTGGCTGGGGACAATTTGCGCAAAATACGCTAACTCCTCCCTCCCAACCTGCCTACTATCGTGCTAGGTTTTCCCCCAACTTTCCACCAGCGTTTCTGAAAATTTCTCATGTTTTCCTCAAATTCGTTGAGCGGAGGTTGGGGGGAGGGTGAAGGGTGCCAATACACGTGAAAGGAAATTCGTTTCAGCTGTACGACATGCCCTGCTTGTAACTGTCACTGATATTATTGTAGTAGCAGTTGTGAATGTCAGTGACAACCGTGCGTCGGCTCACCACGCGCGCGTCAATCTCGCGCGTGTCACAACGCCTCCATTCTTCATTGATGTAGAAGAATGTGACCAGACTTGATCGGTAGGATATGACCATGGATGGGCTTCGTCTTTGTGAAGGCTTTTGCTATTTGAGTCAAGGCACGTCATACGTTAGGGAATTCAGAGCGGAGGGAGTGCCGTATTTGCCCGTCGCTTCGAGGACGGTCGCCTTTAATCCTGAGAAAAATTTGTTCTGTGCGCAGGGAAACCATGCGTGATCTAGAGGAAAATCGGAAATTTTTTCGCAAAACTGGGAAGATGCAGGCAGATGGGGGAGCTTATGAGGATGGTAGTTAGCTTAGAAGAGGGAGGGTACCAAAGATATTGCAGGCCATGCACACCACGACAGACCAGCTTTAACACCGTTGAAATGCGCATTCCCGTTGCAGTGAGCAAAATATGTGCTGGTGGGATCAATCGACCATGCTTTCCACCGGCGCCAGTATAAGTTGCAAATGTTTGTTGTTGTTACATCCCACAACCTATGCCCTCTCTGTTTGTTATAATCTGCAGAGTGCAATTGTTTTTTGATGGTTGAAATCAGTCTCATCAATCATTGATGAATGTGCTTTCTTCTTATCATTTTTCATCAATTTATTTCCCATCTCCGGGGGAAGACACACTGTACGATCACCCAAAAGGTGTATCCTTTCCGAGGACGTGATCCACAGCCGTGGAAGCGTTTCTCGGCAAGGAAGCCAGAAGATGATGGTCATTGTTCTTGTTTGTCTCCACCCACTATTGGAGAGGACTAAAAGTACCGACGCAGTTTGGTTTTTGGGGACACCAAGTGATGCTCAGCTCGTACAGGACACCTGACAACATCTGTAAACTAATGTAACAGTGGGGTTCACTTGTACCCTTTCGCAAATCTCCAAGAATTTACAGGTGACAACCTATTGGCTAACTTGTTATGCAAAAAGAAACAGCGAAAGTTTGAATGCCCCCTCCAAGTTGAACAGCGCTCACCCTAGTAGGCAGATGGCGCCTAGCTATAACTGCACTGCTGGCTATGTGGCGTGGCTGCGGCATGTTTATCGCGTTGTGAACGGTGGGTGGAGACATAAGAAAATTACATAAAAACAGCTGTTTATTGACGGCACTTCAGAATTGCAGGAATGCTAAACTTCAGCTGCTGCAGTCCTACCACCTACGCATACAGAAATAATCCGCCTCCGATATGATCGTACAGTGTGTCTTTGGAATTCATGGGATGAGACCAGAAAAGAAGAAAGATTCAGAGGAACTTTCTAGCAGATGAAGGCGGATATTCGTATGAGTGTACTTTCACTTTTGTATTAGAAGGCACGTCGTACCTTGGGAATCCCTAGCGTAGAGGTATCGCTATTGGGAGGGGGTGAGGGGGGGGGGTTGCATCTCGCAAAGAGAGATTCCCCAATGACAGGGTGTGCCCTG